TCAGAGAAAGGAGACATGCAAAATGTGCAGTGCTGGGGTGCCTCCAGGACCAGGGTTGGGAACCACTGTATTAGTCAATCACTACCAGTATTGAGAAGTATTTCAGGTAATAATAATAAATTATTATTATTGTTGTTGTTATTATTATTATTTCCAAGTGTATATATTATTTACATTTATTTATTTTTGTTATTGTTATATTATTTGTAGATGCTATTAATTACATAATAAGCATGAATTACATGACAATGATAATAATAATAATAATAATTATTATTATTATTCGTAAATGTAAAATATTAATCGTTTGACAGCACTAATTGTTATTACTACAACGTGTCAAAATTATGACATTATTATCAATCCTGGGGGTAACGCATTACAAGTAACTCAAGTTACAAAAATAACGACTTTATTCAACAATTCGTCTCCTCCTTGTCACCGTAGCGCCATTTTGGAGTTTGCGTTCAGTGGATACTCTCCAAAATATGTCGCTACGGTGACAAGGAGGAGACGAATTGTTGAATAAAGTCGTTATTTTTGCTTTCTTCGCATACAAAAAGTATTCTCGTCGCTTCATAACGTTACGGTTGAACCACTGATGGCAGATGGACTATTCTGACGGTGCTTTTCATACTTTTCTGGACCTTGACAGTGTAATTTACTTGGCAGTCAATGGGACGGTCACAAGCCTCCCGGTTTTCATCCAAAATATCTTAAATTGTGTTCCGAAGACGAACGAAACTTTTACGGGTTTGGAACGACATGGGGGTAAGTGATTAATGACAAAATGTTCATTTTGGGGTGGAGTATTAGTTAGTTTTACAAATAACAGAAGTTACTTTGTTTTCCCATTTATTTACTGACACTTCTGACACAAATTGTTCTTTTAAAAAAGTGCTCTATAAACAAACTTTGATTTGATTTGATTTGATTTGATTTGATTTGACTTCTCCTGTCCCTGTGCTGAGGGAAATTGGGAGTGAGATGCAGAGGCACTTCCTTCAGACTGCGGCTTATTAATTTCCCTTTTAGTGTGAAAGGGCCTTTAGAGTTGCAAAAAATATAACCTTTGGGTTTTGTTATAAAAAATAAAAAATAAGCAAGCCCAGCCCAGGTGACAAAAAGTAACACAAAAGTGACGTAATGCATTACTTTTCATAAAAAGTAACTAATGCAATTACATAATTACAGAGTACCGCAATATTGTAATGCATTACTTTTAAAAGTGTTTTTACTTTCCCCAACACTGATTATTGTTGAGTGTGTTGAAGGTGTTTGGTGTGGATTCCCTCACTCTGCTCAGTAAGCCGGCTGGTGTTGTAGCGGCGCTCATGAAGATGGGTTCAGACGCTACGGCCTCAAACTCCTCCAGCTCTTTGGACTCAGTCGCTCTGCTCCGTCCAGCTTCTTCCAGCACAACCGAATCTGTGAGACGGCAGCATGACAACAATAAACGAGGTGCTGTCACAACACACTGCAGCAGAGGAGCATCTACCATATCTGCGATTAGTCTAGAAACTCTCCTACAGTCACTCTAATACATGCAGAGCCACCTGCACAAACACACACAAGCTCATCCAGTTGAAGCAGGTTCAATACAGATTTGACACTGAAAGGCTTTACAGAACATGCTTTTAGAGACCCAGTGAAATGGAAATGCGAGCTGACGTCCATATGTGTTAGATTTGAGGTCTGTGTGCTAGTGCAGGCTCCTACGAGCTGACAAAAGAAACTGAAGCACACATACACAGTTAAAAGTCTCTCTCTTTCTGAAAAATGTGCCAAAATAATGACGACATGTAAAAACAGCTAGCTAAAAACATTTTCCAGCCCTTTAATATTTACAGATTTGTTCTGAGCTTCCTTAAAATTTCCTTTTTAATTATCTGACTTATTATCCTTCAAAATAACACATAATTATAATATCTTGTATTTAATTCAGGCGATTTTTTTAAATAAACTGACAGCCCTAAATATTGCTGCTTATTAATATAAATTGCTATTTTGATGCAAATGCATAAAATTATTAAATTAACTGATAATAGTAATAACAAATAATTGAATAAAATTGAAAATATTATTTGTTTGTTTAAAAATGTAAAACCTTAACTAAAATAAAAATATATTTGGACATTTTGTGCATACAAAAAAAAATAGTACATTTGCAGGAAATATTCTGCTACAGAAATGAATAAACAGTGTAAAGTAGTATGCTATTCTCAGACTCAGCTGCAGCACTTAGCTCACAACATATCTACTCTATAAACTCCATTCCAGCTCCAGAAACATATGCTGAAACAGCGTTGTTTTGAGAGACGGCAGCTCACCGGTGTTGGAGCGCTGGATGGGGCAGGGCCTCCCCTGCGGCTGGGGCCCAGGGGCCTCGCTCTGGGGCTCCTTCACCCCGTCCATGGCCATCAGCACACTGGACAGCTCCTGCAGCGGGACGTTCCCCAGCTCAGATGAGAAGGGGCTCGGCGGGTTCTCCAGACACATCAGCCAGCTGGTGTTACCTGAGAGCAGATTTACAGAGCACACTTTAAATCATGATCGATGACTCAAACTAATCAAAGTAAAGAAATATATTATAGAAAATACTCTTCTTAGATCAACAGAATATGTACTTTCAGAATCTATTTCCTTAGGTGTATCTTCAAAACATCACATGATGTGACATATTACAGTTGTTAAGAAAACAAATAATGTTATTATTAAGGCTGTCACTAATGATTATTTTGGTGATCAAGTAACTGGTCGATTATTCGGACAATTAATCGAGTAATCGGATATTTATAATAATTTTTTTAGTAATAAAAATAGGCCTAAGCGAACAATAGCCTTTAAAATTACTTTAAATACATATATAATAGGCAATGAGGCAATAATAATTAGTTCAAAAAAAGTATCAAAAGCAAGTAATAATGTGGTTTTATTGAACAAGACTGTTAAAATACATAATGTATTGTAAACAATAGAGCTAATGTATATTAGGCATTATAACAAATTCGAGTTATAATTTGTTTTTACACTTTACAGTGTGATCTAATCCTTGTTTAATATAGACTAAACAACATTTAATTCAAATCTCCACTTAATTTTAAATTTTGGCTATTTCTTTACAACAGAAATGCTACAGCCACCGCAATTTCTTGAATATGTGCACATCAAAACCTGTAAACTCAGAGTCAGAGCAAGGGTTTAAACTTTTATTTTGAAATCGCGATGAACAGTTAGCATGTTGAAAAAGATATCGATGCATTCTCCAGTGTTTGCGTAGGTTTATAAATTATTTACCTCACAAATCTGATGAAATGGGGCAAGTGGCGTTTCCAGATGAATGTTATAATAGACCCAAACTCACAACAACATGCAGAGTGTATGATATGATAACAGTTTGTGTGGAGCAGCATTTACTGTGAACGGATGTAAATAAAGCACATATATTAAACCTGCATCACATATATTTATTTAATTGAATCGTAGCGTTTGTGAATTCACAGTAGCATTATGCTTTATTATGATTTTTAAATAGGTTTAATATATCATGTAGCCTCAGAAAACGGTCTAATAATGCGTTTCATGGTTTCTTGTCCGTTTTTTTTGCCAGTTACTCAAACTAACACGGGCAAAATGCATTCGAGGATTTTTTTTTTTTTTTAATTGAGTACTCGAATTGAATTGAGAAATCGTGACAGCCGTAGTTAGTAGTCATTAGGACAACACAAATTCATTTGTGTGGAGCAGCATTTACTGTGAACGGATGTAAATAAAGCACGTATATTAAACATGCATCACATATATTTATTTAATTTAATCGTAGCGTTTGTGAATTCACAGTAGCATTATGCTTTATTATGATTTTTAAATAGGTTTAATATATCATGTAGCCTCGGAAAACGGTCTAATAATGCGTTTCATGGTTTCTTGTCTGTTTTTTTTGCCAGTTACTCAAACTAACACGGGCAAAATGCATTCGAGGATTTTTTTTTTTTTTTAATTGAGTACTCGAATTGAATTGAGAAATCGTGACAGCCGTAGTTAGTAGTCATTAGGACAACACAAATTCATTTATTTTTTATGAAATAATGCAAAATACTGTTGCATGGAAAGCAAAAAATGATGCACACACACACACACACATATAACAGATGAGGATCTCGTCATACTGAGACCTCCAGCTGTCTGTTCACACCTCCAGCTATATGCCCATGTACCTATTTAACCAACATCTGCATCAGCACATCACACATCCAGCAAACTCAATTACACAGACACGCTAATGAAACAACCTGACTCCAGGCACCAGAGGCATGTCGGATCTCACCTTATACAGAGAGAGATTAAACAAACAAAGAAAATGTACATTTATGAACATCAATAAATACTTTGTGATTTTATTTTACCTCATTTTTATGTCAAATAATTGATTAATTAGTATTACTTGTTTAGTTGCACCATTTTTTATTAAAGTACTTTTTAGGTGTTTAAAATACTAGCATACATTCTCATAGCATACACAGAAAAAAAGATACAAAAGGTCCATCTTTGTATCTAAAGGGTCCATATTGTACCTTAAAGGTACACATCAGTACCTAAAGTGTATATGTTGATACCTTAAAAGTACAAAAATTTACTTTTTGAGAAGGTAATGCCCCAGTGACAGCTTTTGTACCTTTTTTTCTGAGAGTGTACTGGAATTTTATTTATTTATTTTTAATACAAGTAAAATTATATTCAATTTTATATGCATGTACATTTATAAAATATAAATAAGGAAATAAATAAACATTTGACAGTGTTTTTATTTTAAACCATTCAATACTTGATTTTATTTTTTAATATTATTTATGTTTATTTGCACTATTTTTTTTTTTTTTTACTTTTGAAACAGTGCACGTTTAAAGGTCATCATAAAATCTGACTAAAATAAAATTTGAGGAGGCTACTTCTTCATGTTACGTGTGAATGGTAAGAAAGAGCTTGAAAACAAAAATCAAGAAGACAGACAGGTTACAAAGTGTGATGTCACTTCCTACGCAGAATAGAACATTTTGGCTGCTTGGAAACAAATGAAATACTTGGATACTGATAAAAATGATTTTATTTTTAATAAAAGTAAAATAATTTTACATTTTATATAAATTTTATATAAATATATTAATTCAATTAAATATATTATTTAAATATATTACATTTATATAAATTTATTAATAAAATATATAAAATGTACAATAAACACTTTCATTTTATTTAACCTTTTTTTTTTTTACACTACTGATAACTTGATTGACTTGACTACTTTATTATTAGCCTATTATTTGACTTTTGACCATTTCTCATAATATAAACTGAACTGAACTCAAAGAAAGAGATTACAAAAAAAGATAGAGAGAAGAAAAATAAAGCACAAAAAAAGTGGTTCGAAGTGAAGCAATAGCGCTATAAAACTGACTCATGAAAGAAGATTGACTTGACTACTTTATTATTAGCCTATTATTTGACTTTTGACCATTTCTCATAATATAAACTGAACTGAACTCAAAGAAAGAGATTACAAAAAAAGATAGAGAGAAGAAAAATAAAGCACAAAAAAAGTGGTTCGAAGTGAAGCAATAGCGCTATAAAACTGACTCGTGAAAGAAAGACACAAAAAGTGACAGACAAACACAGAAAGGAACAAAACCACAACAGCAACGCTGTGAAATCCTCAGGAAGCGTATTGAAAAAGCATCTCGTCACGTGTTATTCTTCAAGAAGTGAAGCACTCAAGGACACGTCGCAATTAACGCACAAAAAAAAAAGAAAAATCGGTGAAATGCTCCCGAGCTATTCTTCATTTAGAGGCAGACGGAGGAGAAAAGCTGAGGAAAATCGGGCCCGTGGGCACGGCAGGTGTGAGTCAAACTATTATCAAACTTTGGAAATGGCATGGCACCCCCTGCGGGCCGCAAGTGCGCTCATGCGCCTCTCAAACGCCCTTGGAATGGAGTTATTATGATTTAATTTTAGTGCCTGCGCAAATGTGTCATAATTGAGAGCGAGTGGGCGATAATTGCGGCCCGGGACAAAGTTAGGAGGTAAAGCACGCGCCGGTGTGTGGTACCTGAGGGTCTGCGGATGAAGATCTCGGCCCAGCCCTGCGTCAGCATGGGCACAAACTCGGCCAAGCTGGACTTGTCTTTGAGCGGCGCTGAGGACTGCGAGGCGGAGGGCGCCGGGTGCTCCTCCACTCCTCTCTGGGACCCCAGCACCTCCAGCAGGGGGCCCGGCGGGGGCAGCGGGCCACTGTACTCACCCTCAGGAGACGCCACCAGAGGACTGAGACTCTGAGCTGGACCGGCCCGCAGAGCGTGACCACCTGGACAGAGAAATCAAGAGGGGCATTTAATGAATTCACTATCTTCCAGTGATATTTTATTACATTTATTATAATATAAAATGTATATATTATATCCTTTTTTAGTAGTAGTAGTTCTAGTTTTATAACACTTTTTTTTATTTAGTTTTAAGTATTACATATCATTATATACCAAGATATTATATAGCTTGAATTAGTTTTTATTTTTATAATTTCCCCATTTAATTTAAGTAATTTTTTTTTTTTTGTCTTTTTTGTTTGTTTTGCAAATGTCTAAATTCATTTAAATTCTTAAATTCATTTTTAGTTTGAGTTATTTTAGCACTTTAAGGTAAAACAAAAATGAGAAATAAGTTGTTTTGTATATTTTATGTCAGTTAACATTTGTTTTATTTTTTCAGTTCATTTTGTATTATTATAATGTTAATATTTAATTTTATTATTACTTAAAGGAAATAATTTTTAATAGTTTTAGTTAATAATAATGCACTATCAAAGTCATGTGACGCACAAGAACCAATGAGATCTGATGTTACTGACATGTTGCCATATTTGATTTGAGAGTGAATAACCACGTAAATTTCTCTGTGTTCAGACACAGGGACTGAACCACTGTGTTTTTGGGGGGGGATTACTTTACACAACCTTTACATACTTTTTGAAGCTTGAAACTTTTGAACCCGACTGACTTTTATAGATTAAAATAAACTTCAAAATATCTCCATCTGTCCATAGATAAAAATCATAACATTTTAGAACGACACAAGGGTGAGTAAATGACAGAATTAATATTTTGAGTTACCGTCCCTTTAAGATTTTTATTTCATGTATGACTGCTCATATATCTACATATCTACTTCAAGCATTCAGTGACTTAGCTGAGGAACTAGTTTCATACAGAAGGCTAGATAGTAATGAAAGAAGTCATTTACATATAGAAGTCTTCAAGGTTACAGAAGCAAGACGAGATTGTTTAATTCAAAGGGTCAGAATGTGGAAAATGGGCCAAAATTCTTCAGAGCAAGAGAAGCTCCGGGTCCGAATAAAGCAGCGGTGTGTGTGTGTGTGTGTGTGTGTGTACTGTCACCTGATATGGAGCGGACGCGGGTGCGAGTGCTGCTGCTGATCTGCTGGCCCGACTGCGACTCCAGTTTAGCAGGAGCCTCTTTCGTCTGTCGGGTGTGTAATGACGGGTCAGACCTGCAGAACAGTCATATGTGTATTGTTTTGATGTTTTCCCATCTGACTCAGAGCAGTAAACACACTCATATGAAGCTGTTCCTCTTCCTGTCTGTGTCCAAACATTGAGTCTTAATTCATATCTGATCATGCCAAAAGTCATATCTATCTATTTATCTATCTATCTATCTATCTATCCATCTTCCAACTATCTCTATCTATCTATCTATCTTCCATCTATCTTCCATCTATCTATCCATCCATCCATCCATCCATCATGTGCCAAAAATGCTAGAAACATGCTAACAACATGGTAAACATTTTCTAAACATGCTAGCACATGCTAATTCATGCTAGCAATGTGCTAAAACATGTTAACCTATAGCAATAGCATGATTGGTTAGTGACATCTATGTTGAAATGTTTGTAACCTGGTCATTTCTCCTCCTCCTCCGGGCCTCTCTGCCATGTCCAGACCCAGAAGAGCTTGGGTTCGCGAGCCACCGCTGGTCGTTATGGTGACTAACTTATTCCCAACCAGCCAAGTCATACTGGGGCCACCGGACAACAGGAACTCTGCGATGGGAGACCTGAGAGAGGAAGAGAGTTTACGAAGCCCATTAATCATCTTTATTTAGGTTTTCTGTCTAATTTCTGTCATTACTTAATTGCCTGAGAGATTTAAAAATATGGCTGGATCAGAGCTTTCTTTGTTTTAATGAAAATAAGACTAAGATTGTTGTATTTGGTCGTCCTGGGGATTTGAGTGCTTGTGTAGATGCACTTGGTAATTTAGGTTTGTATGTTCGTCCATTTACCAAGAATCTCGGTGTGATTTTTGACAGTGCTTTTAAATCTGAAAAACATTAGTTCTGTTGTAAAAGCCAGTTTCTTTCAACTGAGACTGTTGGCTAAAGTCAAGCCCTACCTGCTGCTTAAGGAGTTTGAAAGTGTAATTCATGCTTTTATAACATCTAGACTAGACTACTGTAACTCTTTATATGTTGGTTTGGATCAGTCATCTCTTCAGCGCTTACAGTTAGTCCAAAATGCAGCAGCTCGGCTTTTAACTGGGACTAAAAAGTATAAGCACATTACCCCAGTCTTAGCTTCACTACACTGGCTTCCTGCCCGCTTCAGGATTTAATTCAAGATTTTATTGTTTGTTTTTAAGATTTTAAATGGGTTGGCGCCTGCTTATTTATCAGAGCTTTTACATGTCCGCACTCCTGTTAAAGCACTGAGGTTCCGAGAGCCAGGTTAGAAAATAAAGATGACCGAGCTTTTTCAGTGGTGGCACCTAATTTGTGGAATAGTTTACCTGTACACATAAGAACTGCTCAGACTGTTGGAATTTTTAAGTCATTACTTAAGACACACCTGTATTCCTTGGCTTTTATTTCGAGCTGAGCGGAGACATTGTGATGTTTTTACTGTATTTGTCTCGTTTGTGTGTGAGTTTTTCCAGATATTGTTAAGCACTTTGGTCAGCCATGGTTGTTTTTAAATGTGCTATATAAATAAAATTGCACTGAACTGAACTGATTTAGTGTCATTGTGAGAAACCCATCCATCTCTGACAGGAGTTTGCTGCTCATGCGCTAAAAGTAGGTGCTACACTGTCCAAAACAACAGGCCGGATAAGGATATCAGTTGATGTGCCTATTTACACACAGAGTGAAACAACTACTATAAGAGTAGGGTTGCAAAGGGGTGCAAATCCCCCAAAAAATCCTGGAAAGTTTCCAAAATTTCTGGAATGTTTCTGAAATTTACTGGACATTTTCCACCTTTTTGCAACCCTATATAAGAGTGATAGAAAAAGAAGTTTGCTCTGGTACAAAAGGTGAATGGATGCAGTGTTCAGCGGCCTGCATTCATCACGCACCGCAGAGATGAAAGCCAAGTATTATTTAAAGCTTTACAAGCAGACACCGAACAAAAGGATGAAGGTCAAGCAATTACAGCTCTAGCTACACATCTTCAATGCATTTACTCATTTAGCTGACTCTTTCTTTCAAAGTGACTGACAGATGAATGAAATTACAATTCCATTAAAGTCCGATGGTAAAACAGCTTTTGGTGCACTGATCCTAAAAGACTGGTCAGTGAGATCTATTAGCATAAATTAGACTTAATGAAAAACATACTTGTATTGTTTTAGTACTGTTTGTACTATTTTCTTTTTTATAAATTATACATTTGTATTTTTTTTAAACATGATACATAAGTACACAATTATTTATTGTTTCAGTTTTAAAGTAGGGCAATTAATTATTATTATTATTTATTTTTTAAATGCACGTTAATAAAAACATTTAAAACATTACTCACAGTTTCAGATTAAAGTAGGCAATTATTATAATTATATATATATTTTTTAAATTAACATCAATCATAAACATCAATTACTAACTGTTTTAGTTTAAAGTAAGGCTACTATAATACTGTAATTATTATTATTATTATTCATTTTATTTTAAAAATACTAATACTTATTACTAATTGCTTCTGTTTAACATATTATCAATTTACAATTATCAATTTCATGTAATGCAATTACTACTATTTTATTACATTTTATTTTAATGTATAACATACTTGTTAAATCAGAAGGCGTGATTGTGTATTTTTACCATACATTTCATTAATTAAATTACTCAAATATATGACTTGAATCATGTCTCGATGCTTCTACCTGACATGATAATGTAAAATTTTTAAATTTTATCTTCAATTAATGGCTTTTCTAATCAAATATTGATATTCAACTGCAAATGTTGCAGCGTTGACTGCGATTAACTGGACTGTTAAATCTGCAAAACATGCTACTAATGTGATTAAATGAGGGCTGTACATGTAGGAGAACTGTGGCGTGTGGTTTGTGGTGAACAGGCGTCACCTCTTGGGCAGCGCAGAGAAGTTGGAGAAGACGTATCGCGCCATCATGTCCAGGCAGGTCTCCGTCAGCTCCAGGTGGACCGTCTTGAGCGCGTCGTCTGCCTGCATCACCGCGTTCTCGTCAGCCGAGCCCAGGCTGCAGGTGGTGCTGGACGTCTGCATCCTGCACAGGACGGGGTCAGGGGTCACAGCCGGTACAGGAGAGGTCACGGGGTGAAAGAGTGCACCACACAACCAGCTCACACTGGTTCTAGTGAAGTCAAAGATCTCAGCTAGTCTCTGACACCATGTCCTAACCACAATTTAGAACCACTGACTGATTCAGATTCAGATTCATTTGATTCGGAGTCATCTGATTCTGATTCTCTGATGGTTAGTGTAGATATTTTTCACTCGTCACGGCTGGTTAGGACACAGTGTGCAGCTTGAGATGAGAGTGTGTGAGTGTGTTTGCAAAGATGTAATAAATCAGATTCAGAGTTGATTGAAGCTGAAGTGGCCCTTTTAAAAACACACACACACACACACACACACACACACACACGCAGTTAAAACAGACTCACACTCCTTTATAAATCAAATTAGAGATACTGTGCAAGTTTATCTTTGCTTAAAGGAATAGTTCACCCCCAAAAAAATACTCACTCTCTAGTGTTTTTCTTATCTAAAGCTATTAAAAGTAGTTTTTGGTTTTAATGGAAATAAAGCTGAAATAAAATTGCATTTATTACAATATTAGATAAAACTGCAACCGAAATAAAATAAGTTGAATTACTACAATTAGTTGAAGTAATAAAACTAAAACTGATTTTAAAAATGTAAATCTAAACAAAAATATTAAAAAAGACAATAAAAATAATTTCTAAATCTCACACTAAAATTAAAATGAAAACTGAAAAAAAAATTAAAAAGAGAAAAAAATGATAAATACCATAACATTAAAATAGCACAGTCACTCTCAAGTCATTCTAAAACCATATGACTATTTCTTCATTAAAACACGAAATCAGCTTAAAAAATAAAAAAAAATAAAATAAAAAAAAAACAAGCTAACATTTTCTAAAAGTAGTCCATATGACTCATGTGCAATATTTAAGGTCTTTAGTAATACGTGATATTTTTTGGAAGGAACAGAGCAGGATTATTATTGTTGACTATTAAAAGTAGTTTTTGTTAGCTGAAAGAAAGCTGAAAAATATATATACATAAATATTAGATAAAAACTGTGGGAAATTGAAATTGAAGAAACTGAAGAACTGAGATTATCAGCTGGGAAAAAAAATCTATGAAAAACTAAAACTCAACTAAAACTCAAAAATCAATTAAACCGAAATAGCAATATTTAAACAAAAAAAAAAAAAACAACAAAAAAAAAACAACTATAGCACATAAAATTACTAAAAAAAATAAACTAAAATTTAAATGAAAACTGAAAATATAAAAATAAAAGCTAATTTACTACATTACTAAAAATTTAAGTAGTATATAAATACTACTAAGATAACACTGGAACAGTGTTACTCACTGTAAACTTCATTAACGCTTTCTTTCTCTCTCAAATGACACCAAACCCCATTGGTTCCCATTGTGTTGTGAGCAATCGTGTTGCGTTAGTTGGAATATGCATGAATACAAATGAACTTTTGACAGAATTTTCATTTTTGATTCCTTTATCTGTTTTGTTTAGTCAAAGCTTTTTTGTTTCTCTTTTAGTGACACAAAACTGGGACTGACAAACCTTGAGCAGGAGAGAAAGCGAGAGAGAGCATGGCTGTTTAACACACACACACACACACACACACACCTAGAAAAGTTCAGCTGCCAGCTTGCGATCCACACACACACACACACACACACACACACACACACACACCTGTGGAGAGGCGTGTGATTATCCAGGTGATGGCATCATGGCATTAATCTAAGACAGCCATCAGCATCCTGCCCTTCTGTAACCACGCCAACCGCATCCCCGGGGAAATCAGCAGAGCCCACATCATCTCCATACACTAAGACGACACACACGCCAACCCGCGTAAACACACACCGCTGCCAACGCCGCTGAGCTAAAGCGCTTCTGACTGCGACATCGACTCTCTGACCTGAGAAACAGGCACAGGTGAACTTCTCATCAACACCACACACGCAAGAAACGCTACAGTCCTTGAGCGCGAGTGTGTGTGTGTGTGTGTGTGTGTGCGCCAAACTGCACTGGTAATAAGTAAATGGCAGCCATACATCACAAACTAAGCCCTAACTCGAGTAGCCCACACCAGACATCAGTGATTGCTGGAATCATGTGTCTGCTTGAGCAGACGTGTGCCTTTACTTTACTATGTGATCAGATGCAACATTTTACCTGCTGGATGATAAAAGATAGAAGAAATTTTCTTAAATATCAGATGCCCTCTTATGTGTGATGAGATGCATGAGGAGAAATCCAGACGGACAACGAAGTTTTACTTTTTATTTAAAGCCAACATTACATTGATATAGAAATTATCAATTTATGAAAATAATATTTTAAATATTTTTTCAGTCTTTACTGTAAGGGTTATTATAAAGTCAGAACAAAAGTTGGTCCAATATCTTTAGTTAAAAATATAAAATAAAATATAAAATAAAAAGCATAAAATAAGTAAATGGCAGCCATACATCACAAACTAAGCCCTAACTCGAGTATCCCACACCAGACATCAGTGATTGCTGGAATCATGTGTCTGCTTGAGCAGACGTGTGCCTTTACTTTACTATGTGATCAGATGCAACATTTTACCTGCTGGATGATAAAAGATAGAAGAAATTTTCTTAAATATCAGATGCCCTCTTATGTGTGATGAGATGCATGAGGAGAAATCCAGACGGACAACGAAGTTTTACTGAACCCTACACAAAACACATGATGATTTAAACAAATATATTAAAAATTAAATAAAAAATAATAAATATTTTTTTTAAAACTAATATATATATATACACAAAAAAAATACACAACGGGAAAATGAAAACAAATATAAACAAAATATGAAACATAAAAATAAATAAAAAGATAAAAAAATATAAAACTCATATATATATATATATATAGTAATACAATTTATTTTATTTATTTTTTTTATTTAAAGCCAACATTACATTGATATAGAAATTATCAATTTATGAAAATAATATTTTAAATATTTTTTCAGTCTTTACTGTAAGGGTTATTATAAAGTCAGAACAAAAGTTGGTCCAATATCTTTAGTTAAAAATATAAAATAAAATATAAAATAAAAAGCATAAAATAAAATTTAAAAAAAATAAGTAAAATGAAATATAAAATGAAAACATTTTTTAAAAATACGAAAATAACCTTCTTGCAGACTCCCATATAATTATTGTTTCTGATTTTCAGTCAGACACAAAATAATTTATACAATGAATAAATATTAATGATAATAAATACAAATAATATTATAAAATTAATAAAACTGACAGCTGATTCAGAACCCAGGACTCAGTTATATTGAGTCCAATATTTTTGGTTTCAGTAAAAAAAATAAAAAAATAAAAAAAAAATTAAGTGCATCAGTGCATAGAAACCATCAAATAACACCCTAGCAACCAATCAGAACATTCTGCAGAAACGTGCTAAAAACGACCCAGAACACTCCAGGAATATCAAAGCAAATGCATTAAAAACCCATCTACATTATTATCTTTTCTTATCATCAACCTCATCACACAGCAACACATTAGCAACCACTCTGAATCATGATGGCAATTACACGTCTGGCACTGTGCTTCTACATCTGAGGTATGAAAAAGCCAAACTGAGCTACGCATGAGCATGCAATCAACAAAAGGCCATTTTCATTTCATCTCAATGGGGAACGAGGGATGAATGTGGATGATACGAGCGCGTGTGGGCGTCAGAGACGACAAACACATCGACGAAAGACAGAAGCATCTGCTGCAGATGACCCACGTCACCTGATGCTTCATAAACCAACAACATCTATCACAATAAAAACTATATTCTGTCTTCACAACATCTCACAAGCAATGACACACTGATACAAAAACACATTATTTTAGTGTTTTCAGCTTCAAATGTTCGAGACCGGCCTCTTTCTCTCCCTGTACTTTCTTGTCACTCCACTATACTATTTAATAAAGGGGAAAAATAATTTTTTTAAACAAAATATTGAAATATAAAATGTATTTTCAAAAATGTTTTAAATATTTTACATTAACATTCTACAGTAATATAACATTTTTGCATTTACCTTAATTTTTATTGAATTAAATTTAAATTATAATTATATTTGTACTTATATATACACCTTTAATTATGTGTTGTTATTTTTTTTTAGTTCTTGTTTACTTTATATTCATTTATTTTTCAAATTTATTTTATACTAGTAATTTTCTAATATAATTAAACTCTAATATTCTCTAATATAAATAAATATCAAATAGCACATATTTAAAGTCATTTACAAATGACATTCACATTTTAAGGCAATTTACCTATTAAATCATTTCATTTTTTCACTGTTACTGTAATGCAATACAATATAAGTTAATATGGGAAAGCAATATGTTTAAGGTAATAGACATTACATTTACCACAATTTAACATGAGGCTAGTGTGACAGAATCGCTTGCTTACGTTTTTGTACATTAAAAGTGTTTAACGAAAATTACAGCAGTACATTTTTGCATTTAAACCCTAAGAGTGAATGAACCCTGTGCACTTCCACTGAAGTGTGTTGGTGTAAACACCACCTGATGGAAGGGTCAAAGTTATTTTCTGTAGTAATTGACAAATGCTGTCGATAGAGATGAGCTCATTCTGCAGCATTCCTTCAGCTGCTTCGCTCAAGGGCACAACGGACTTTTTCTTCACCGGAATCGAGCCAACAACCTGAGCTTTAACAACCACACCAAACCCAATCACTCGAGCGTCCGTCAACAGGGTCATCCAGCACACACACACAGACACAGACACAGACAGACACCACACACACACACACACAGACACAGACACACATAGACAGACAGAAAGTCCCAGTTTGTCTTTACATTTGATCATTCAGCAATTCTTCAGCTGAAGCGGATGCCTCAACCTCAATGCTTTAATACACAAACATTCTGCATAACTGTTTGCACGGTAAATGCATAAAATTTCAAATATTTAAATCAAACTTAGAATGTCATAGCCGCATAAATGTCCATAAAGTCTCTGAATCCTGGGCATCCAGTACAGCGGATCATAACACCAAACCCTTTTATGAAAATTATGATATCCTCTAAACCAGTTGATCTTTTTCCAAAAGGCACAATTTCCAAATAAACATCTTTTCACTGTCGTGTCACACAGAGAAAACGTTTCACTGTTCGCCGGCTCTTCACATGCACATCAAGCCCTCAATCATCTCTATTAGCTGCAGTCAGATGATTGTTGATGTCTGTGGAATAATAAATGATGCGGTTTGTCGATGCAATTTTAATCTATTGATGCATTAAGCTGAATATGAATGCGTGGAATAGTGACTGCAGTACAAATCTTCACTGGATAGCATCTGAGCAATTAATATTTGATTTTTTTAGAGGGAAAAATGAAAAGAGTTTAACTTTTTATGAATTTCTAAAACATTTAAAAACCTAAAACTGAAGCCGTACATTTTCATTTAACACCGGAAGAGTCAAACTGCTTGTGATTTAGATCAAGTTCGGCATTATTAGCTCTCTTTTGTGTCACCAAAATGCCATTAAATCATAACGAGCAACCTTGAAATTACCCAAACAAAAGCCCTTGGCACAGAAATACTTTAGGCAATTAGTAAACCGATGGCAGGGTAATTTGCAGACATACTAGATAATAAAACAAATATGCCATATGAAGTCCCTGTGCTGGCTAATAGCGGACACTCTATTCATTAACATCCTGTAACTTGGAGGCGCTGAACTGATTAATAGGTTTTATGGTAATTAGATGCACTGGGTTAACACTGCAGTTTGTTCATGAGTTCAGGAGCACAGGCTACATATTTATGCAAATGAAAACACAGCTGTGAGGGGAAAACAACAGAATGTATTTTGCTGTATGGAAAAAGTGCAACTGTGTTGAAAAAAACCCGTATGGGTTTGAAATGACATCAGGTAAGTATAAGCTCTGAAAAAATGCGAATAAAACCATGGAGGAACAGCATTTGAAGAGGGCGTCAGTGAAACATTTTCAGCGTGTTCGCAGCGTATTATTGTGCGACTTTTGTGCGATGATTCAAAATGCAGTATGATAAAACATGGATGGATACTGTACCTGGATCATGTGTAAAGAGTGTGTGAATATGATGTGAATAAGTGAAGGTTAAAACAGTCTCAGACAGGCAGCAGACTGAGCAAGTGCGCCCCCTAGTGTTTGGGAGATGAATTACTGCTGTCCATCTCATTCAACAAACAGCAAAGACAGAGAAGCTAGTCGCTCCAATGTGTAAATGCATACTTTCAATTGCGCATGCTTCCTGTGTGCGGTACGGAGCCCCTAAAGGGACATGGAGATGGAAAAAATGGGCTGGGAAAATATTATTTTTCAAAGCATTTGCAAGTGCTTTTGTTTGCAATTTTTCAGAGGAATGCAAAAGTTCTGAAAGAGAATACAAAGTTTCTTGGGGGAACGCAAAAGATTTGCAAGAGAATGCAAAAGCATTGACTTATAATGCAAAGTTTCTTTGGGGATCGCAAACATTTGCAAGGGAAAGTTTTGTGTGGGAATGCAATGTTTCTCACGCAAAAGTATTGTGTTATCCCAAGAAACTTAGTGTTAGCTCGCAAAAGCATTGAAATATTTTTCCTCCAACCTCATAAATGTTTTACGATTGAACGCATATTTTTTAGAGTTTTGAGAGATAATGCAAACGTTTTTTTACAAGAGAATGTAAACGTTTTGCAAGCGGATGCAAAATTTTTCTCGCAGACGTTCTGAAATATCATTTTTCCTCCAATCTCATATTATTCATCGAAAACATTTTACAAGCAAACCATTTTTTGAGATAACGCAACAGCTTTTACAAGAGAACGTAAAAGTTTTGCAAGCGAATGCAAAGTTTCTTGAGGAAAGCTAGATTTTTGTGAGAGAATGTAAAAGTTTTGCGAGAAAACGCGAAAGCACTGAAATAAAACGCAATTTCTTGGGGGAACACAAACTTTTTGCGAGAGAACGCACAACCATTGATATATAACACAATGTTTTTATCGAGTGAATGCAAAAGTTCTGCAGGCAAACGCAAAAACACTCAAGTATTTGTCGTCTTGTCTCTTTTTTTCCATCACCATGTCCCTTTAGGGGCTCCGTAGTAATTTGCTCACGGAAAGAAAAAAAAAAAACACCATCACAAACAGCACAATAAGCACGGTAAAAGCAAATACAAAACGGGGTTAGGCTGAAATCAAAACAGATGCTCGCAAGGCTCAGCGCATGCAGTCAACATCACCATCAATGAAACGAAAGAAAACGACAAAACCCTCCTCCAGCATGCACCCTTTCCTGCCCAATCAGAATTAGCCCAAACCAGATGTCCCCGCCCCCCCCGCATCGCCAAGACAACGCCCCACCCCCGACTGCCCAAGCCCCACCCACCGTCCCTGCATACAGAAAAGGAAAAGAAGGGATACCAATCGGTTGTTGAGTTTTGAGGTGACCAAAAATGCTCTACCTGCGCACCGCATGCTCGGACACACTGATGCTTCGGGAGCGGAAGGCGTCCATGGCCGACAGATCTTTCAGGTCTTTAACGGGAGAGTTTGTGCTGGGGCCTTGCTTCGCCACTTTGGTCGTCCGCAAACTGCCCCGAGGGCAAACGAGGTCAGGTGTGCGTCAGCATAACGTCGTGACCAGGGAGGGTCGGGGGGAATTTGGGGCATTTTAACCACGTCGGCATGGGTGGATGGGGGAGTGCGATTGGTTGTGGAGTGTCACGAAAAGGGGCCAGCGACCAATCACAGGTGACGGATCCGAGGTGTCGGCACCTCCCCAAACCACGCCCACCACGCATGGCCCAATCAGAGGAGGGGGGAGGGGTCAAATAAGGAAGTGAAAGGAAAACAAAGTAACTTGGTCAGCAGTGCACACTGAGAACCAGAAAACAGGGACGACACTCAAAAAACAAAGAAAACAAAGGAGGAAACAGAAAACTGGAAGGAGAAACAGCATCAAAAAGATCAACAGACACTTAACAAGGCATAAAGTAAGCAATATACTGTCAGCATTCTACCAAAGGAATGAAAGAGGAGAAAATAAATGAAAAACTCATCAGAGAGCACAAACATACTGGTACAGGGAAGAAAAAAGCATTCAGACACTGCTATGATCATCATACTGGAAATTAATAGTAATAGGAAAACAGTGATAAGATCGTGTGTATGTGTGTGATTTAATACAGCAAACACAACACAAATGAATGACCGGATGGAGTTAAACTAGAAACTGGAACAGAGAATGTAAGGCCTGATAAACTAGAAAGAGCATAAAAAAGTATGAACCATGTTTATACGCACGTCATTTTAGATTAAGGTTGGTTTTCTAGGGGAAATTTTATTCTGAAATAAACATTTACTTGCCAGCCTCTGACCTAAAATATTGACTTTATATTTAATAATTTAAAAACACATTAGCATTTTCAGTTTTCTGATGTTGGTTAATGGTCGCATGGCATACAGGTAAACCAATAAGATATTGAATCTTTTTTTGTGATTTATAATTGTTTTATTTAAAATGTATTTTTATTTCACATGCAGTGAATTCTGAAACAGCGATAATTTAAATAATTTCATACAGTAATTTTGTCTACTCTTGAATGATGCTCATTAATGTAATTAACAAAACAGAGAGAGTATAAATCTGATTTGTATGACTACATTTTCATAAATATATGAATATTCTTGTGCATGTAAATGCATTGGTTGATCTTTCTCTTTTTCAGGCTTTTCATTCAAAGCTCCAGCCTCGATGACAAGACAAGACACAAGACTTGCAAAAGAATAACACTGACGGTTTCCACAGAGAATTAACCTGAAATCAGTATCAGGACAATGAGATTAGGCGGTTTTGTGACTCTGGACATAACTGATCATGGACTGTATTAGTGATACATAACTTGTTGTTACAATGATTGCAATGCATTGTTGGCTGCATCAGGTGTGCTGGTTAAAATGGTTTAGTAAGTCGTTACTATGGAGATTCCTGTTAAAGTAAACTGGCTTACGGGACAATGGCTGTTTTCACAACCAATACAAAAAGTGAAATGAAGAAAAGCAAAGACAGAATGAAGTAGAAATGAATGGAAAATAATAAGGATTAGAAAATAAAAGACTTGCTTCAGTTCAAATCCAGATGTTAGTAGGCAGGACTCTTAACCTCTAGTTTATTGGTCCCTTTGTTGGAGACATCATATGACTAGTTATTTTGACTATTACAGGATAAGCTCATTATTAAATATCAACACAAGTTTTAGAGATGTGTGTACTGTTTGTATTCAGGTGTTTCTTCAACTATGGGCATTTTTAGTCTTTTTAGAAATTTAACTCCATTAACACACTTTTTAAACTCGTTAATTAAATTTGTCTACTAATAATCCTAATGTTTAACAGTGGATGAACACACTGCTTTCATGAACCCTCAGAAAAATGTCCACCACTGCATCATTTCCATCACATCTTAAATCATAATTCTTCATAATTCTATGGTGGAAATTAGATGTTTTATTTTTTATATTTTGGAATAAAATGACCAAAAAACCTATAGAAAGTTATCGAAAATGCACAAAACATGTTTTAAAATATATAAAAAATATATTTATAAATATATTGAATTTTGCAAAATCCATAGCTTTCACAAAATAAATAAATATACACACTAATATAAATGTTAAAATAACGACTAATGACCAATATCCTCTTTTAATTAGACTATCATAGTTTCAAACATGCATTTTTTAATTAAAAACATAAAAGGCATTTGAAAAGTATCAAAACTAAGTCTTAAAAAAAAAAAAAAAATCTCTAGTTTTAATGT